ATAATATAATAAGAAAATATCAAATTGCAACACCAAGCAGCATAACGAGCAGTTTTTAACGTCAAAAAATGAATGGAAGAGAATGAGACTGGAAGTCTCAAGCCAAAAAGACTTAAATGGCAGCGCCCGCTCGTCGGTGGAGAATAAGGTGAATACTCAACATCTATATATATATATATATATATATATATATATATATATATATATATATATATATATATATATATTAGTGCTGTCAAGCGATTAAAAAAAATTAATTAATCGCACCTTTTTAAAAAAAATTTATCGCAATTAATTGCATTTAAAATACTGAAACTTGTAATTTTGGCTATTCAAATGTAAAATTAATGTAAACGAAAGAAAAAAACTATTTAAATTCAAAATATAATTGTTTATTAAAATTTAAATTCAAAATATAATTGTTTCATAGAATTTTTGTTTAACTTGTAACACAGATTTCTTCATGTAAACAACATACCCACATTGAACTATCAAGATCCTGGCTTGACAGCCATATTTATTAAAGAAATTAAAACACAGGCATGTTAATGACATTTAAATTTCAAAACAATCAATGCCTATAAAGAAAACATTGATTTCTATGTTGGATTCTAAGTGGACTGCAAAAAATGCCAAAATACAGGCATTGCAGATATGGAAAATGGAAAATAATAATAATAAACTATTGAATACAAACTGTTGCACTCATTGTAAAGTTTTATTTCTGTGAGTTTAGAACATTAGTTATAGAGTAGAAACAATTTTGCTTAATCCTCCTTTACATTGATCCAGTTGCTAAGACTAGGAGTATCCCGCAAGTGCACAGAGACTCCCAAATGCCCGCAAATGAATGATAATTTCTCGCAAATCAGTCGTTAAATACATTGCACACCCCTCTCCCCCGCATCCCTCCAAGATCTTCAGGTAGTCTATGTCGCGCGCAACTCACCCCCACCGTCCTTCAGGTACGTCTCGCACGCACACACCCCTACTCAGATACGTCGCTCACTCCACCCCTGACACCCCTCAACGGGCCTGACACACACACATACACACACAATGCGCTGCAGACGTTTTGGCCCCAACGGCCTTCCATACTGGAGCGACTCCCTTCAGATTCAACACGCATGATCACATTCAAGACACCAATAAGATACCAGGCCACTGGTATCTTCATGGAATGTTTCATTTTTGCTCCCAAAAAAAGGCCATCCTCTTAAACAGTAAGTGCTTCTCCCCTTTTAGTCATGGCGCTACATAGACGCACCCCAGGAACTCGAAAGGGGCAACACACAACCAAACCGCTATCAATTCAACCAGGTTTCATGGACACAGAGGAAATCAACTTCCTTATCATTTCATCTCCCAAGGATCCAGGTATCCTAGGCTTACTATGGCTGCAACAGCATGACCCTATTATTTTCTGGAGAGATGGTGAAATTGTTCAATGGTGTGAACTTTACATTTAAGAGTGTTTCATACCCATATCATCAATTCAACTCAATGCATTTACTGTTCAAGAGGACAAACTCATACAGCCTAAACTCCCCCTGAATTCAAAGATTTGGCAAAAGCATTCAACAAACATGAGGCCATGAAGAAATACATTGAAGTGGAAGTGTCTAAAGGCTTCATCCCCAGCCATCCATGTAACTAGCTTCTGCTGAATTCTTCTTTGTCAGTAACCAGGATGGAGGACTCGGTCCATTGATTACAGAGCTCTTAAAAAAATTCCCAACCCAGGCTCATTCAGAAAACGTAGTCCTGTGGACGTTTCTGGAGACCAGGAAATACGTCCAGGTTGGTATTTATTTTCGCAGTTTTTGTTTTCGCGAATCCACAAGAGGCCGATGTGTGTGCTTTTTCGTATCTCAAATGTCTCTCGCGAGTGCAGTTCGTGCCTGCGATGTTCTCGCGTAAACCTACCAGAGGCCGCTGTCGAACAACCGTCTGACTATGGAGACAGATAAGACTCAAAAGTAATTCACGCAAAAGACACGATTTATACATGCGTAGCCAAATTCACGTGCATAAAACCATTTATATTCACAAAAAAAATTTCACGTGCTCAAAATATACATTTTCATAAAATACGTTTCACAAATGCAAAACAGCATTTGAAAATGTATAGGAGTGTACAAAAGTTTTAAATGTTTAAAACTTGCGAGTTCATCCTGAATGAGAATGTGCAAGTCCTCTTTCACGTACGACTCCCCCTGGATAAGTGTGTGTGTATTTTTGAGACTTTCCTGCCAGAGGCAGGGTAACTCATACCTTTCAGCCAATCAGAGGAGAGCTGTAGTCAAGGACACCCACTCTGCGCTCTATTTGCGCAGACTGTTCCTCTCCAGCATGGCGAACGGAGAAAGCAGCAGTCGCAGTCACATTTTTTTTCATTTATTTATTTATTTGACCATAGCCTCACTCTTTTTATCCATTATTTTGCCGCAGCTCCGCTCTTCTTATTTATTGTCTCGCAGCCCCATGAGTAAACTTTAGCCTGCAGGGTAATAATGAGGATTAAGTATTATTCTGGCCACACTAACCATAACAGTGTCATTGTGGTCCAGCGGTCAGCACGTTGGGTTGCCATGCTGTCGACCCGTGTTCGATCCTCACCTAAGTTAGTTTTTTTTTTTTTTCATTTTTATTGTTAAGACATACAAAACTGTAAGGTTGTTGAACATTTGAAGTTGTAAAGCAGCTGATTTCTTGAAAAAGACGTGATAGTGTCATTAGAAACTGAATTTCAAGCCTTAGACCGGCTCACCTCAGTTCACGACTGACTATATTAAAATAAAGTCATTTCCAATTCAGTTTCTAATGACACTATCACGTCCTTTTCAAGAAAACAGCTGCTTTAGAACTTCAAATCAACTGAAGATGAACAACTTTGCATCACTAAATTATTCACCAAGCTAGATCTATGCAGTGCTTATAACTTTATATGAATCAAGGAGGGGGATGAGTGGAAGACAGCATTTCTACTTGTACTTGCCACTATGACTACCAGGTGATGCCCTTCGGAGTGGTAAGTAGTCCATCTGTTTCCAAGCTTTTATCAACAAAGTCTTCCTTTACATGCTAAACTGATGGGTAATTATATACATCGACAACATCCTTGTATATTCAGTATTCTATGAAGAACATGTTTACCACATATGACCTTCAAAGACTCATAAATCAAAAATTATAAGCCAAAGCAGAGAAATATGAATTCTTCTAAATATCTGTATCATTCATGAGATGATGCCGAGGTAAACTATGTTTTGAACTGGCCTCTGACCTGCTACATTGAAGATGCTGCAACAATTCTTGAGATTTGCAAACTTCTTCCGCAGATTAATTTGAATCTTAGGCACTATAGCAGCTCCCCTCACCTCCATGACCAAAAAGCTAATAAGCCATTTCTCCTCCTGTCATCCAGACCCCAACAATCCCCAATCCACAGAATGTCCCATACTGTCTAACACAATCATCATTGCCCCGGTCTTATGAGATCCCACCAAACTGCCACCACCCCCAACAGACCTTTTCGTACAATTTATGCTCAGAGAGAAAGCACTCCAATCAGTCCACAATTCATTCTAATCTGTCACCAGTTCAGTCTTGTACAATTCTCTCACTGACCAGCTGAGGTCACCCTTACCAGATTACTAACTATCCACAAACTACATATCCTATAACCCTGTGCCTGCCATGGATTAGGACTCTAAGCTGTACTTAATACCAATTTGAATTTATTGTATTTAACAGGGACAATGCTCATTAACAAACAGTAAAACTGTCATAAGCCAGAATGAGCCACAAGGGCTAATTTTCATCTGTTGACCCCTGCCAGATTTTAAAAGGTAACTTAAAATAAAAAACACATCATCGAACATACAAAAACAGTAAAGTTACATATGACAAAGGGATAAAACATGTAATAAGAATTACTTAAAATATTAGATAAAAGAATTACACATGATTACAAACTTGATTTGCTTTTAGCCCTTTTTTTAACTTGTATTTAAAAGTTGAATGATTTGTAACACCCTTTAAATCAATAGGAAGTGTGTTCCAAAAATGTCTGATAGGAAATCACCCATAACATATTGCTCTTCCATGTTCACTGACTGCAAAGAGTTGTTTTGCTCTACAAACATTTCTAAGCATTTTTCCTGTTATGATATATATATATATATATAAATATATATATATATATATATATATATATATATATATATATATATATATATATATATATATATATATACTCGTTTCTCTGTTGCTGACATTCTTTGTTCCTCGTAATTTTTAACTTTATCGACAATTGCTTGCCTGCTGCCTGCCTGTTACCATAATGAAACCTCCTGTCTGTCCTAGTCATCCAGTGCATTAACACAAGTTTACTCACCTGGACGATTGCGTTATGTTTACCATTCACTTGCATATCCCTTTGTGTTCTACTGTTTACGTTGTTATACTGTGTTTTATAATAAAAGCTGCGAAATGGATTCTCTGGTAATCTTAATTATTAATGGTGTAAAGTGAATCAGTGTGGAATTCAACATTACCCAGTTAGTTCTGTTCAATAAGAATGTGAATGTTGATTCAACAATAAAGCTACCAATACCAATTGACCAAGCCAAAAATAGCATTGTCCAGCTTGGACTAGCAGTTGAGCTGCATGGTCTGATAGGAAATTTCTAACATTCCTGGTGTTATATAGAAAAATCTGCTTAAACAGGCAATTACAGCAATGTAGTATGTAAATTTAAGCTGGTCATCAAGAACCACTTTTGGGTTCCCAACTGTTCTGGAAGGAGTCATTGTCAGTGTATTGCGCCTAGCCGTATGATTTCACATATTATACCTTTCTTCCCGATTAGCCAATCCAAGCCTGCTACCAGACTGCAACAATTCTCACCAACGCTAAATGTAGCAAAGTAAAAGTGTTCTTGTATTCCTTACGTGATTGATTGATTTGAGTGTTTATTAAATAATCTTTTATTTTTCACATTCTTTTTTCCTCCCAGGTGAATGTGTACAAAACATAACCAGCCCTCTGAAGCAGTTTACACAATCAAGTTCTCTCCTTTCAGGGGATGGCCCGGGTCCAGGATGGGCACACAGAGGAATATGACAGGTGGAGTCATCAATAATCCTTTTATGTTAATTAAAAATGTATAACCTAAAATGGCCATTATTTTTTTTCTTTCTACATCCAATGGGAAAGGTTCATTCACATAGCACTCAATCGAAAATGGCACAAAGCGTTGACACTCTCAAAAAACAAGACACACAAGCTGTCACTGGGGCAGTTTATTTTTAAAAGGTATACATTTTTACTTAAAAGGCTGGGACACACCAAGCAGACTTTAAACAACTAGTGTCAACAAAACTCAACTGTGTTGTTGTCCTGCGTTAGCACTCTTCTGGCTCCAACTGGACCAAAGAGTTACCCATGAAGACATTAATGCCTAGTTCAGACTGCGTGATTTTAACCCCGATTTTGGCTCGCCGACAGGTTTTGAGAAACCACAGACAAATGCCTGAAATCACAGGCAAATCGCTGCTCGTGCACGTGAGTGATAATCACACAGTATGAACGATCAAAGACGCGATCTGAGAGAATCGCCGATGAGTCGCCGATGCCTGTGAGATATTTGGCGTGCTAAATATCTGGAGCTGTCGGCGATTCAAATCATGCCGTGTGAATTGAGTTTTGACTGAAAATAACATCGCCGATCGCCTACAGCCAATGAGAGAGTAGCTTTCACTTGTGTGTGCGTGTGTGTATAACTGCTGCAGGTCAGCGGGAGGCTGGGGGAGAAGTTAAAAGCGCTCTTTTTCGGTTTATTTGGACCCACGAAATGGAGGAAAAACTAGTGGAGGTTTGACAGGACTCAGGAGCAACCGTGTCTGTTTGACGTTTCATACAGAAAGAAATTAGTTTATTATCAACGTTGAGGAGAAATGGCTAATTCCCTTTAAACCCAGGTGAGCAAACATGTACATGTTCTACCCCATTAAAGGCTTCTTTCTCATTATGTAGTTAATAACAAAAGATATACTACATGTTTTTGGCTGTGAGACGTAGTTTGGACGAAGTTATTCTCCCTATAGTAAAGTCATGCAATGTGAATGTTCATGTCGCCGAACCATCTTGCAGTGTAAACAAAGCAGCGACGAAACGCTAGCCCAGATAGTCATGCAGTGTGAAAACATCTGTGACACGACTAGTTTGAAAATCATGCAGTCTGAACTCGGCATAAGCAGACTAAAGCTGACTGGAACAAGTGTGTGTGTTCTACACTTGCTTGGGAGGATGTGTCTTTCCACACCCATGGATTGCAGTAGTCTGTTTTCTTGTTGGCGACAGGAAACCAGAACTTCTGACACATACGTGCAAAAACTAAACAAAGCAGTGTTTAATACCAGTAGTTTTCACTCACCAGGGAGGGATTCAATTTTGCAAATATGTCTGTAATCAGTTAATCCATATCATTTGCAAATATTTGAAAAATGTAACAAAAATACAGCCAGCCTCTTTGTGGTCCTCCTTGACTTGAATTGTTTACTTGCTACATCACTTCACTTTGTCATACTCGTGCTCTGATTCTGTTTAATGTGTCTGCTAAAGAAAGCTGTTCCTGCCCCCTTCAAGCATGTAGAATTTATTTTATATTGTGTTTGTTGTTATCTGATGTGTGAACAATGTAACAACTACCGCCAAACATTTCAAATTTCCTGTGGTTTGATGTACAAAGTAGGCCACATTTGATGAAACATGCATGCAATCTTAGGATTGAACCTGTGGCATCCTATAAAGAACACTTTATGCTTACACTCACATTAGTCTCATAGAACTTAATGTTCACTACTTTACCAAAACTGTCCTAGATATGTTTTTTGTTTCTGGTTTTAATGTTTTTAGCTACTGGTCCTCATTTGCTGATCATATATGGTCAAGTTTAGGTTTACACCCACAACAGCCAGTGCTGACTCTCCCAAAACATTTGCCAAAACTATCTCTAATATGCTTTTGGAAATTTAGGTATTATTTTTGGGGCCACTTTAGCCTCATACCAATATTAACTAGTGCTTACAGTGCCACATTTTACTTTTTAAGATAACTGGGCCATATTTTATGAAACACATGAGGTTTATTTAGGCTACATTAGGCAACAGCCACATTAGTGCTTACTATTTTAAAAGTAGTTCAGATAAATTTTTAGATATCTTGATCCAATATCTTAAATTGCTTAAGTATATCTTGTTCAGGCCATGAGTCAACCAGCAGTGGGATACCAATAACTCAAGAAGCTCACATTTGTACCTATCCGAATTTACGTACAAATGTGTACCTTTTAAAAAGATACCACCCCAATGATAGTTTGTGAACTTTATTTTTTAAGCAAGAGTATTATGTATTATGTTATATGAGATGCAGAGGAAAACTGTAATTGTCAAATTCAGGAAAATTAATGCTTAATTAGTTATGTAAATCTTGGACAGTAAAAATGGATGTTTACTTACAACCTCAATTTATACTTTGTGTTACCCACCAAATAAATATTATGTCTTATTTCTTAGCTCTGTGATGTTAGAAGATGGTCAAGATGGAATGGACAGTGATAGCCTGACTCCAGGTTTAACTCGAGAGGTTTGCATCCAACGTCATCCAAGCCACGGCTTCGGTTTTATTGCTGGCAGTGAACGGCCTGTCGTTGTGCGCTCTGTCTCTGCGGGTAAGACATGAATCTCTGTCAGACGCTTTGGGCCAGATGTTCCTATTAATTTTTGTTGTACCAGCAAATCTGCTTTCTTTTAAAAAGGCTTTTACTTCCAAATATATATATTTATTCAAACACATTTAGATACATTTACAAAAATAAATTTCTGTTAGTTAAGTGATCTTGTCTCTTAAGGACTATTTTTCTCCTGGCCAGCAGGGATAGCTCTCCTTGTGCCATCTACATCCATGTCTCTTCACTCTTCTCATTGATACCATTATCCTCAACATACTCTGAACATTGTTTATTTGTTTTTTTGGATGCACTAGACCTGTGTTTGACGCTTTATTTGCCTGTTTGTTCCCTGCAATTGTGTTCAGTCTTGAGCCAATCATCCAAGCTTGTCCTGAGGTGACTGATCCTAAGCTAAGTCTTTGTTTCTAGTGGACTTTTGACTCTGTATTAAGTTTTGCCTGTGTGAGAGGAACCTTAGCTTTTTCTGTTTATTTTGTATCACTTAAAATTTCCTTATGAAAAGACTGATATTTTTGATGTTCATTGACAGCAGTTCCCTGGCTCTTATGTTTTTCTCCATATTGGTTTACTTATCAAGAAGTAAGCTCAGTTAAGACACTCCTTTGGGACACTAGAGACTGGGGTTCACATCAAGGCTAAAACATAAATTTTTGAAAGTTCTCCACTACCTTCAAAAGTGGGACTAGAATTCACCACTAAATTCAAACAGTAAGCATGCACCAAGGAGGTGAAGGGAGTATTCAACACCTAGTAACTTGTGGAGATTGCCACTACTTGTGGAAATTGCCGACACATTGTGCATTGAGCTTGCTTAACATTACTCAAAGAAACTAGCACAGCTGAGTATGCCTTTGAGTTTGGAACCCTAGCTACTGAGAGTGGATGGGAATTAATGGGCATTAAAATCAACTTTCTTACATGACTTGTCCCTAGAACTCAAAGATGAGCTAGCATTCTAAGAGTCTTCGATTACCTTTGAGTTCCTTATTGAGGTGACCATCTGGATCAACCACTGCCTTAGAGAACAAAAGGCAGAATCCCAGAAGGAGTTCAGTTTACTTGATGCTGTGAGCTCTATTAAAATTACATTGAATTCAGCCACCATAATCAACTTACAAAACCTATGCAGTCGGGTTGAACTCAGATATCCTATCTGAGCATAACCAATGAATGAGGAAAAGATGCTGTCTTTACTGGGAAAAATCTGATCATTTTCAAAGTGACTGTCCTTAGCTGTCAGGAGAAGACTTGTCCAGGTGTTAGGGAATCTGGGCAAGAACATCAGCCTTCCCTTGCTCTACTACCTCAGGCTTCTATCCTCAGTGTTACAATCTTACGAATCACCAAGTCTGTCCTTTTGTTGACTCAGCAGCCACTCCCACGAAATCCCCAAATAACACTGCATTGAATCACCTTAAAGAACTTTTCTCATTCTTTTAGATTTACACCCCTAACCTCTTGTTCATCCTCAGTTTTCCTTGACTTGACTGTTCATAACCAACAATTGAACTACTCCAGTGGAAGTGTCAGAAAGAATTTAACTGAAATGGTTGAACTGAATGTCTAGTCTTTGACAGTGCCTTCTGTTGTTCTCACAAGCAACTTGAGGTGTTCCCACACTTCTTGGCGGTTAATCCTAAGAAAACTCCCATCTTCAAACCAAGGCTCCATCTATGAAAATCCTAGCCATTCCAAGAATGGATCCAGCCAATATTAAACCCTCACCTCAGCTTCCCCCAGTTCCCCAGAATTCACTGACCTTGTTAAGATCTTGAACCAAGTACGAATCAAGCTGCCACTACCCTGCCCCCCTGCCACATAAAATAAAACTGTGCCATTGATCTTATACCAGGTACTAGGTCATCTTCAAAGAAAATAGAAATATTATCACAGTAGTCCAGTTCTGTCAAAAATGCAGTGGCTCCCTATTAAACATAGTTTAAATATTAAATATTATTGTCCTGAATGGCTTAGCTCCACAGTATTTGAATAAGCTCCTGCTGTATTACAGCCCCTCATGTCTACTATGGTCTGTTAATTCTGGACAATCGATTTACTGTAGGCAGTAGAATATTCTCTTATTCTCATATCTGGCACCTTAACTGTGGACAGCCTTCCTAGCACAGTTCAAGAGTCAGAAACACTTTGTCAGTATAAATATAGCTAAAAACACATCTATTTGTATTAGCATACAAATAAAACACAAACATATGACTTTGAAACTGAAATCTCTTAAGCATTGTTAAGCTGCATTGATCAGACAACCAGAGCTGTAAACGTTTCACAAAATAACTGAAATTACCACAATAACTGAAAAGCAGAGAGAGTTTAGTTCAAAATCTGGAGTTTATTTATCAAAACGAATGAAATAAGGCAGCTGCCGATCCACTACCACCCGTGGGAGAACGCAGACAGGAGGAGGAAACTGGTGAACTGCCTTGGCTTCCTCAGAGCGGAGCGAGGGCTGTAGCTGGCAAACGCAGGTGAGGAGCTGGGATTCAGCGGCAAGGAGACTGCGCAGATCACAGGTAAGCAAAAGCGATAAGTTGTAAATCAAGGATATAATTTAGAATTTACTAGAGCGAGAGTAGGTACATCAGTATAGATTAACACAATTATCTGACAAAGAGTAACAAGAAGGAACAGGTTTATAAGGAGGGACCAATAGACAATGGAAACAGGTAATGATGCTTGCGCGCCAGCGCTGATTGAAATGAGAAGGAGCTGAAGTTAACAACACAAAAAATTAGATCAAACCTGACTCGTAACAGTGCCCCTCTCCCGAGGGGCGCCCCCAGAGAGAGAGACTGCCGAGAGCGTGAGAAGTCCTCAATCAGCGAGCGGTCCAAAATGTCCCTGGTCTCCACCCAACTCCTCTCCTCCGGACCGTATTCCTCCCAATCGACAAGATACTGAAAACCCCTGCCACTTGGACGTGAGGCAAGAATCTTCTTAACATTAAAAATAGGGGCATCATTGACAAGAGCAGGATGGGAGTAGGGGGAAGGTCTGGAGAGAGTGCGGATAATGGGTTTAATACAAGAAACGTAAAAAAAGGGAGAAACACGCTGCATAGAGCGGGGTAAATGGAGACGGACAGCTACAGGGTTGATGATTTTGGAGATGGAAAAGGGTCCTATGAATCTTTGAGTGAGTTTACGAGAAGGAGTCGGCAAAGGAAGGTTACGCGTAGAAAGCCAGACTTTCTGACTGTAGACATAACGGGGGGCTTTCTTACGATGTCGATTGGCACTGCGATGTGTTCGTTCGCGAGTCTGAAGAAGTGATCTGCGCACTCTTAGCCAAGTACGTCGGCATTGTCTAATGAAAGCCTGTATGGAGAGTACAGAAGCCTCAGGCTCTTGTGAGGAAAATAAGGGAGCTTAATAGCCTAATAGACAGTAAAAGGGGGAGAGACCAGTGGCTGATGTGGGCAGTGAATTGTAGACGTATTCAGCCCAACCCAACTGCTCGCACCAGGAGGCTGGTTTGTGGGCAACTAAAGTGCGGAGGAGACAGCCAAGGATCTGGTTAAAGCGTCCAGCCTGCCCGTTAGTTTGGGGATGAAAACCGGATGACAAGCTAACCGTGGCCCCTATCTGCCGATAGAATTCCTTCCAGAATTGAGATGCGAACTGAGGCCCGCGGTCTCAGAAGGTAAGCCATGGAATTTCGTGATTGAATACAATTTGGGCTGTTTCTTTAGCCGATGGCAGATTGGACAGAGGAATTAAGTGTGGATATTTGGAGAAGCGATCAACCACCGTAAGAATAACGGTATTAACGGCGGAGGGTGGTAACCCAGTGACAAAATCTAACGGATGTTAGACCATGGACGTGACGGAAGGGGGAGAGGACGCAAAAGTCCGGCTGGAGGGGAATTGTCAGATTTAGCTGGAGCGCACACTTTACAGGACATGACAAACCGGCGAATGTCGTGAGCCATGGATGGCCACCAAAAACTTTGGGAAGTGGTTGCTAGAGTGCCTTTTATACTGGAATGGGCTACGAGTTTGGATGAATGAGTCCAACGCAGGACCACTGGACGTACAGACTTGGGAATGAATAGTCTACCCTTTGGGCAGCCGCGGGGGATAACCACGAGAGTAAGAGCCCTTTAAACCTGGCGCTCTATGTTCCACATAACCACGCCTATCACTTTCCCCTTGGGAAGAACGCCTATCACTTTCCTCTTGGGAAGTCGCTCGTCTTCGATGGTACTAAATTGACGTGACAATGCGTCCGGTTTGATGTTCTTGCTACTGGGTCTATAGGAGATCGTGAAATCATATCGGTTAAAGAAAAGAGCCCATCACGCTTGTCTAGCATTAAGTCGCTTGGCCGAGCAAATGTAAGTTAAATTATGGTGGTCAGTCCAGACAACAAATGGTACAGACGATCCCACTAACTATTGCCACCATTCCCCGATGGCCAAGTGTACAGCAAGGAGGTTGCGATCTCCCACATCGCAATTGCTCTCGACGGAAAAGAGACAATGAGAGAAGAAAGCGCACGGATGGACCTGGTCATCTTCTGCCTGCTGAGAGAGAACAGCGCCCACGCCCACGCTAGTTTACGCGTTTACCTTAAGGATAAACTGGAATGACAGATCGGGATTAATGAGAATGGGAGCAGTGGAGGAGAGCTCCTAAAGGAGATCAAAAGCTGTTTGAGCTGCCGGGGTCCAAGCGAATTGGATCTTAGTGGAAGTAAGCGCGGTCAGCGGGGAGGCAACTTGACAAAAATTTCAGATGAAACAATGATAGAAATTGGCGAAACCGAGGAATCTTTGCAATGCTGTCCGTGAGTTGGGCACGGGCCAATTAATTACCGGGCGTACCTTCGAAGGATCCATGCTGATCCCCTCCGCCGAGATAACGGACCCTATGAAGGTGACTGATTTGGCATAAAATTCACACTTCTCTGCTTTAACAAAAAGACGATTCTCCAGCAGATGCTGTAAAACGCGGCGGACGTGC